GCAGCTGTAATGACTTTGAAGTGCCATACTTTAAAGTATCTTCAAAATGTTTCACTTATCTCTCCCCTACCATCTATCTTAGTGACAGCTCCTTCCTCAAATTATTTTTTATTTACTTATCAGTTTATATGTTTCTAGAAGGCAATAAATCAACAAATACTTATTAAGCATCACTTGTGCACCACTTAAACAAAACAGCAGCTACCCTCAAAAAGCTCAATTCTTAATGGGAAGGGGAGGGAAAGAAGGATGCACATATATATAAGTATAGACAAAACACAAAAACAGCAGGTACAAGGTAACTTTGATGGCAAAGGCACTAGCACCTAGGGGGACCAGGAAAACTTCATGTAAAAGGTGATTCTTGAGCTAAGTCTGAAAGGAAACTAGGAATTGATTCCAAGAGGTGGAAGTAGAAAAGAAACGTGTGGACTTTCAGACATTGAGTTAGTCCAATAAAGAGGCATTGAGTAGGGGATGAAGGAAGAACAGAAAGAATGATTGTTTGGCGAGACCATAGAACATGTAAAGTAAAATAAGGTATAATAAGGCTAGAAAAGTAGAATGGAGCTAGGTGGTGAAGAGCTTTAAATGGCAAATGAAGGAATTTATATTTCATGCTCAAAGTAGGAAACCACTGGAGTTGATTGCGTGTGTGCCATACTCAGAACTGTGCTCTTGTACACTGGCATTTGTGTAGAGTATGGATTGTAGTAGGGTGCAAGTTGGGGAAGGGAAATCAATTAGGATAGTATTGCAATATACAGGTGTGAGGTGATCAGGGTCTGCAACAGCGTAGTGGCAGTGGCAGAGGAGAGAGAATGGCATATATATGCAAAATGTTACAAAGGTATAATTGACAGGACTTGATCAGGGAGTAGATATGTGTGAGGTGGGGTGAGGGAGTAGATATGAGTGAATGGGGTGAGAGAAAAGTCAAGATGACACCTAGGTTGTGAGTTTGTGTGACTAAAAGGATGGTGATGCTCTCAACAGTCTACCCTAACAGAGGGTAGTTAGGAAGAGGGAAGGGCTTGATATGGAAGGAGTGTGGGGATGAGGGGGATGATGAGTTTCCAGACATATTGAGCTTAAAATGTCTATGGTACATCCAATTTGAGATGTCCAAAAGGCAGTTGGAAATGTGAAACTGGAGGTCAGGTAATAGGTTAGAGCTGAATAAATGTATCTGAAAATTACATGCATAGAGAAGATAACAGAATCCATAGGGGCTAATAAGCTTACCAAACAAAATAGCATAGAGAGACAAGAAAGCCCAAGTCAGGGCCTTTGGGGGTACCCACAGTGAGTGGACATGTCTTAGGTGAAAATCCAGCAAAGGAGACTGAGAAGTATTAGCTGTACAGGTAAATGAAGAACCAGGAGAGAACAGTGTCACAAAATCCTAATGAGAAGAGACTATGAAAGAGAAGACAGTGATCTGCAATGTCAAAGGCTGAAGAAAGATAAGTTTTCTCACAATTGTACACCTTGAGCAACCCACTTCTTATTTGAAAACTGGCCCCATACTGATCAATTAGTTATTGTTTCCACGTTCCTTTGATTGTTCACAGACACTTAGGGGGAGTGGGACACATCTTTTTCTGATTGCAGGGAACTGTACCTGTACATTCTCTTCCTCCCAACTTTCAAAGTCTTTAATCTTTCCTCCAATTAGAAATCAGAGTGCCTAATGTTGCATCCTGATTGTTTCCTTTTAATTAATTGGTGTTATTTGATTGCTTCTAATGTATAAAAGTCTGTCTCCCCCTGTATTTCGGATCCAGCCTGCAGGTGAGGAAGGGGCCTGGTTATGATTTGCTGAGTAATTGGCATACATTGCTTAATGAATCAATATGCTCAGAAAGTGAATCGTTGTTCCCTCAGTCATTTCATCTTTCGCTCGCCATACCTCTTCATGTGGGACAGGACTGAAGGATAAGATAGGAGGAAGGTATCTAGGTGGAAGAAGAGGAAGAGGGGGAAAGAGGAATCTCTCCACAGATGACCTTATTTTTTCAGTGAAATATGAGGAAAAGATCTTAGCTAAGAGAGTGTGGGGTGGGGGGTGTCGTGAGAAATTTGAGGAGGGTTAGAAAAGCTGATGTGGTAAGTAGGATAGTGAATCAATTTAGGGAGAAGCTGCTATGCCACAGGAAGGGCCCAGTTTTGAGATTATATAACATAAATTTGTAGTAAATCCAGTCAGCATGGTTTCAAGATTTTCTCCAGCTTCATTTTGCTGCAGGTACATAGGAAAGAAGGCAAAAGATAATGGGACTATTGTTTCTGCTATCTCCCATGTATCTGGGTGCCCCCATTTCATCTTATATGTCCTATCTCCTCCTGCTGGAATTTTTTGATAGCCTAATTCAGTTGTCACCTCCTTGAATCCTTCTCTTTTATCATCCCTCACTTCACCTCCAAATGAAAATTATTTTTCTTTGAATTTCTCATAGTGCTTTCTTGGACTTCTCCTTTGCTCTTATTAATTCTCCCTTATAGCTTGATCATTTATGTACATGCCATCTTCCTCCCACCTTCAACACCATTAGATTATATAAAGTCTGACAGATTTGGGACTACGTCAGATCTATCTTTTAGCTTCACTGATCAGTGCAATGCTGTATACATAGTAGGCACTTTAAAATGTTTTTTGAATTGGTTTGAAGTACATCCGAGTTCTCAGGGAAACAGAGATGGATGGGGTAGATCTGTGCCTGGCTCTCATTCATTATTTCATCAGTGGACCTAAATTTGCTAACAGTTATATATTCTTAGCCCTTGGGAAGACAATGACTAGAAAAGATAAGTGGTCCTTGTGGGATTTGCATCACAACCATCTACATTCTTATGGAGCTAGCTTTGTGTGATTCATCCTATCACAATAATGTATTTGTTTCAAATGGTTTATGATAAGCTTTAGTAAACAGTATGTAAAGAATAAAGAAGCATCTTATCAGCAATTGTCTCTCAGAAACATAAAATGTCATTAAAGCAGATCAATGGAAATGTTATAAAAAGGTTGCTTTTACATCCATTTGCTTTAACAACATCATACATTTCTGTTCTAATCTTGTGAAAACTAATTTGAGTGTAAAGGAATTAGAGATTGTGGGAGTCAGAACCACGTAAACAATCTTTTTCTCTCTTTCCTCCTTCTCAGTGCTCCTCTCCACCCCCTTTTTTAAATAAGAGAAATGGTTGTTGCAGTGTAGGTAGACACAACTGTTTTCATGACTAGGCCAATTCACCAGTGTAGAATGGTACTAGGGAATGTCTTCTACTTTTTTCTCCTCTGAAAAAAGAATAAGGAACTATTATATATATGAGGAGAATAACTGTATTTTAAAACTCTAAGAGGAAAGGGAAAAAGAAAATTGAAAGCATCCCCTATGTGAAAATGAGGTTTTCATGGGCACTATTATGCTAATTACTGCTAGAGTTATTGATCTTTTTAAACAAAATTCAATCAATATCATGAGTGAAGGAACCTGGGGTCAGGAAAATGCAAAGGGCAAATGCTTTTAACTTAATGACACTGATCACATTTGTCTGTAACAAGGCTCTCCACTTATTAATGTGTCTAGAAAAATGCATATAAGACATGGTAATAGCCTATCCAAATTTATTATATTTTCATGGTGCAGTATAGAAAGTGCTAAATATGGAGTCAGAGGACCTGAGTTTAAATCCTGGGCTATCTATTAAATAAGAGGAGAATTAGATAATTTATAAGGTCCTTTTAGCTCTAAATCTATGATACTATGAGCCTAAATTGTTCATAATATTATTGCCTCTTCTGTACAATAGAATAATAAATGTAAATGTGTTCTACCCTCTTTTTCTCCACTCCCTTCTGATTACTCTAAATTGTCCTCATCCATTATCTGAGAAATTCTGTAGTGCAAAGGAAGGAAGCAAGCAGACTATACCATCAGAAACTATAACATGTAGGACCAAATATGTTTTAACACGTTTGGGAAAAATGGGCTTGAGTGTGAAAACATTAAACTTGCTGAGGAAAATAAAATGCAAAATATATCTCAGACACATAGTTAAGCACTCTATATTTGGGAAATGCAAATCATGCTTTTTGTTTTCCACATCAGGTCCCAGAAAGATAAAATTTTTAAGTAATAAGAAATGAGTAACATGTGCAAGTCTAAACCGTTACAACAATGTGGCTTCCACTGGCACTTTTGAAAAATTTTAGTTTCATGCATTTACATTTTGTCATAAGTTTTACCGTATCATAAATTGTTTTTTAAATCAGAAAATTCAAGTTTTACTAATTAGTTAAAATCATGCTTTTCAATGCACTCCAAGAAGGAAGTTGGGAGAGACATATGCAGAAGAAGGAAAAAACTGCCTACCCATGGTATTGCATTAAAGGACAGAAGAGTTGAAAAAAAGTCACAAATCACAGCAGAGAACAGAAAGGGCACTTAATTTCACCATAAAGTTTCTTCATTAGTAAAATAAGTATAATAACATTCATACTCTCTACTTGTTGTGAGAATTAAATGTTCTGTTTTTGGCTAGGCAATGGGGTTAAGTGACTTGCTCATGGTCACACAGCTAGAGTCAAGTGTCTGAGGCCAGATTTGAACTCAGGTCCTCCTTACTCCAGGGCTGGTACTCTATCTACTGCGCCACCTAGCTGCCCCGATATGAGAAATAAAGTAATGCAGGTGAAGGTCTTATCTTTGAGTTAAACTGTAAAAGCTATGTAAATGACATTATTACATTATTATTTTCCATCTCTATCAATCTATTCAATCACAGTGAAAGATGGTTATTTTAGACATTAAGTAAAGTCAATAAGCCTTTATAAAGTGCAACTATGTACCAGGTACTGTGTTAAGCAAAGGGCATACAAACAGAAACAAAAAGAAAGTAAGATCCTGACATGAAGGAGCTTACATTTTAATGGAGGAAGACAACACAACAAAAGGAAGATGAAAAGCTGGATGGGGAGGGGAGAGATTAAGGGATACCTGGCAGGGGGGCATGGTAAAATCTGAAGTGCAGTCTGAAGAGGAATGAGGACATGGCTGGCTTGGGCATCCTTCTTAAATGGAGGTTCTGGGAGGAGCCATCTAATCAGAAAGAGAGACAAGCACAAAGATGGAGGTTGATTCCAATGTTTGAATTCTAGGGTTGGAATGAGCTTCCAGTACTAAGAAGTTTCTGGGGCATTACCTTATTCTTTCCTTAATTTTTTCCCCATTGTTCAAAGCTTCTCACTTTGAAATAGTAATTTATGAAAATGCAGACCCCAGTGAGCAAATCAGATTTATTGAAGGAGGATAGTTGAAAACTTTAAACTATGACTGAATATCATCTTCCCTATATAGAGCCCCATCTGGGCTGCTCCCCAAATCTGGCACTCATATTTCCCAGAGGGCAGCTGCTACTCCAAATTCTATAGTCTATGGATCTACACTTCTAACACTATAGCTCATAAGCCTCAACCAGTGTACTTTCTAATAAAAGTCAGACAGCAATTACAGTTAGCTCGTACTAAAGGCATTAACTAAGATGAAGATGATGAATAGTAGATATAAAATATTCCCCTCATGAACTTAGTATTCTCTCCTACAAATACAATGGCATTAATAAGAAGCATTAACATAAACTTAAGAAACACAAGCAATGGTAACACAGTGTATACCATGTAGGGAACATATGTGGCCAGGGACAATTTACAACTCCAGGAATGCAGTTACTGATGTCATTTATATTCTTGCGCAGTCTTAATTCCAATTCTCAATTGCCAGAATCAGCTCCCTTAGGAATTCAGAGATGGCTCTCCTTTTCTGACCTCAAGTGGCTGCCTCTCTGTATCCATGTCTATGTGGAATATGTATCTTTGCTCTCCCAATTGTACTATAAATTCTCTCAATTTGACTTTACAACTGCTAGATGGGATGTCTCCCTCCCTTTGTGGTAATCTGCAGCTAGACATCACAACAGAGGACAGGGGAAAGAAGAGGGGGAAGGAAAACCCCTCTTGCCATCTAAGAGGTAAAGAATTGAGTTTTTTCATTCCCCAATTGATAAATGGTCAAAGGATATGCACAGGCAGTTTTCAGAGGAAGAAATTTCTATAGTCATTATGAAAAAATGCTCTAAATCACTATTGATTAGAGAAATGTGAATCAAAATGACTCTGAGGTACCACACCACACCTATCAGATTGGCTAACATAACAGGAAAATGATAAATGTTGGAGAAGATGTGGGAAAATTGGAACACTAATGAATTGTTGGTGGAGTTGGGAACTGATCCAACCACTCTGGAGAGCAATTTGGAACTATGCCTGCCCTTTGACCCAGTAATACCACTACCAGGTCTGTATCCCAAAGAAATCATAAAAACGGGAAAAGGACCCACATGTACAAAAATATCTATAGCAGCTCTTTCTGTGGTAGCCAAGAACTGGAAATTGAGGATTTCCCCCATCAATTGGGGAATGGCTGAACAAGTTGTGGTATATGGATGTAATGGAATATGAGCAGGCAGACTTCAGAAAACCTGGAAAGACTTGTATGGACTGATGCTGAGTGAAGTGAGCAGAATCAGAAGAATATTGTATACAATAACAGCCCAATTGTGCGATGACTAACTTTGATAGACTTGGCTTTTTCTCAGCAATGCAAGGATCTAAGACAATTCCAAAAGACTCACGATGGAAAATGCTATCTACATACAAAGAAAAAACTATGGAGTCCGAATGCATATGGGAATATATTATTTACTCTCCTTTTCTTTTGTTGTTTTGTTTTATTGCCGTGTTGTTTAAAGGAATCTTGGGACATGTTTAATAATTTGTTGTCCAATGATATTGTTCCTGTCTGACTCACTCAAAGGGCTTGTTCAAATCTCATAAAAAGTTCACTTCAAGTGGCTACAATTTTATACTTAGTTTAAGTTCTCATTTATGGCCCCCTTTTCTATGATTAGGACCTGGGATTTCAAAGACCAATTCCCTTACATCTGGCTGATACCTTGAATACCATAATATACATGTCAGTTTCCAATGAAATTTGAAAGCAATAAGTATGGAACACTCTTCTAAAAACTTTCCTTGAAAGATTTAAGGATTTATTCTTAATTATAACCATAATAAGCATCACCCAAACATAAAGGATGACACGAAACTAACATTCCTTTCTACTTTTCTACTCTCTTAGTCTGTTATAAAAAGTTCTTAGTAGAAAAACTAGCAATGAACTTTGTAGAGCCAATTTAATTCAACTGAAATTCAATTTAATTCAGTTGAAAGTTGCTCTTACCAAATAGAATTAATTTCATACTTTATATTATGAGAATGTTTTATTCCATCAATCGAATGAAATACCTTTAAAGAAAAAAAAAGTCTACTTTAAAACTAATATATGTCTACATCACAAAACATTTATGGAAGATTCTTTCTCCTCATTCCTAATGACATATTAATATAACACAAATATTTATACCTTAATATATCACAGCTAGTAGTAGGCTAGGATCACTCAGCTGACAAATGGTATACAGAGTCAATTAAACTTAAAAGCTATTTTCCTTAAATGCAACAATAAAAGGAACAGGAGCACTCATTTAAAAATGGGAAAAAAAGATTCACTTTCAAAATTAGATTCACAAAATATTTAGTAATAGGTTTAATGGTCTCAAAAATGCTATTAAATCTAAATAAGTAGTACAACATTATTCCATGAAATTTCTTTTTTTAAAAAAACTTATTTAAATAGCATGTCAACTTACTGGACAATTTACTGTCTTGGATGAATGTATTGGCTGGTCAATTTAAGCAAACTGCTAAAACATAATCATTTCCTATTTTTAAAACTTACACATGGCCTCTATCAAAGAGTTTTCTTTTGTGTCACAAAAAGGGTAATGGCATCATCACACATTTTAATTTAGACATAAACTGGTCTCAATTATCTCAATTATCACTGACATAAGGAAGCCAAGGCACAGATGATTTTAAATAGCGAGGAATGAAAAAAATCTCTATCTTTACCCTTGGAAGTACTTTGATGATTATATTTCTTTCAGTTTAGTTTTCTTCCTTTGCTTTGTATAGGATGACATTGTAATTAGTTTAGCAAGGCTCCTTTAATGACCCCAAATTTCTCCCTAAAACTTAAATTCACATTCTGAAAATCAATGTTTTACCAGTGTTGTTTGACTGTGAATCATGAAATGTGTTCTCTAAACAATTAACAGCATACTGAAAGAGAATATGGGCTAGTTCCATGGTGAGACATAGGGACAATGGACAGCTTTATGCATAACATTGCTCTCCTTGCAATCTCAAGACAAAGTGAGGAAGGCCCATAGCACCCTGGTTTCATTCTACTGTGATCATTAACAACAGTTGTACAGTTAAATAGTAAGTCAGTAGGATCTGAACTTGAGTTTTTTGAATGTACATCTAGAGGTAGTTCTTTTCTTTTTGCTAGGGAGAACACCAATAGCTTTGTTAATGTAGTGTGATTTAAGAAGTGTTTATGAAGCCATTTACCACATGTCTGAAATTCCTAACATTAGAGATTCATTTCTTTATATTAAAGAAAATTAAAGCATCCTTGCTTCAGTAACACTTAAAAGTACAAATAACTCTGATAATGACATTAAGTAATTTGCATTAAACTATAAACACTAACACTTTAACACGCATTACAAGTATTATTCAACAGGCAAAGAGGGGACACCTGGTGAAAACAAAGGAGTATACATAGTCAGGAAGACCTGGGTTCAAGTCCTGCCTTTGACTGGTTCTACCTATATGACCATAAATAAGTTACTTCACCTCTCAGTGTTACAGTCTCTTAAAAGTATAAATTATAGACAAGTTTCTAATCTGCCTTGGTGGGAGGAATTGTCACACCAGAAGTTCCCTCATAGATTAAATCAAATATCCAGACTTCCATTCTTCTCTCCCCCTCTCAAAAAACAGGTAGTCCACCAAAAGAACACTGAGGTAATGAGATATAAGATGGATTAAGTTTTAATGGTGTCGTTAAGATGGCAGACATCCTTTGATTCTGGTCTTAGTCCCTTCCTTCCTTTTTTTCCTCCACACTCTCAGGAAAAAAAAAGACATTGGGGCCTTAGTATCTGAGATTGCAAAAGACATATAGCAAAAAGGAAACCAAAAGGAAGTGAGCAGTAGAGGACAGTGTGAAATATAGAATGACACAGATAAAAATAAACTGCTTGCCTAACCACTAACAAATGCAAAATTCACAGTAAAACCGAAGATACAAATTTAGTTTCATTTCCCCCAGTGACAATAATTTGTATAAAAAAAATTTGAGTTGTCACAATCTTTTCTCTTCTCTTGAAAAATAAGCATTTGAATTTTCCCTTACAATGTAGTCTGTGGACAAACTGGATACAGTTTTCAAGCTAGGTTAATGATAGATTACCAAACCACTAGAAAAAGGCTGCAAAAACACATCCATAGCCCAATTATACCCATTTTATTTCAGGAGTTCTTCACTGAACTTTCAAGCTTTGTCATACACAAATCCTTCTTTCCCCATATATAAAACAAGTTACCTTATTCCATTTGGTCAGACATTGAAACTGAAATTCATTCAACTTTAACTATCTGGATCAAAATAGCAAATCAAAAAATCATATCAAAATATGATACAAAGAGAGCTGAGAAAAACCTCTTCTATGATTTCTACAAAATGAGCATGGTTATATAATTAATAAGACCTTTAATGAATTTCAAGTTGATTAGAAGTTTCTACCTCTAAAATAACACTAATACATTAACTGAAAATTTTCAATAGCAATTAAAATGTAAACCTAAACAGACCAGAGGTGAGCCTATAGTCCTGTCCTTCTAACAGAAGAGTGGGATTTCAGATTCAAACCCTGGGTATAGACCAGGGTGGGCCAGCAGTTTGCTAATTCTAATCCTGGAGATGCACACACAGTTTTAGGGTTGTATCTAGTGTAGGAACTATGGGACCAGGGGTCATTCTATACCTTTGTCACTCTGAACCTACATAGCAGTTGGGCTAGGTAACAAAGACTGGGGCTAGCAACTCTCTATTAAAGCTTCACTCAAGGG